CCGCGTTGGTGCCCCACGGTGCGTCACTCTCCTGACTCGTCACGCCGCCCTCCTGTGCTGCTCCCATCTGGTCCTCAAGCCCCACACCAGTCCCTTCCTCGTGCCTTCTCTCGCTGTGGCCTTCAGACTCCCATCACGGGCTGGGACCACATCTGTGTGCCAAGACACACACGGGGAGGGCACGTCTGCCTTGTCTCCCCACCTGTGGTCTGGCCCTGCTGGCACCCCACACTGGGTACGTGTTGGGGCTTATGTGCAGCCAGCTGGACCTCTGCACCTGGCTGAGGCGACCATGCCTGCCAGAGGTGGGCTGAGGGTTCGCAGGGGGGTATTGAGCCTGTGAGGAGCTCTTTGTCACCGCCCCGTTGTCCTGTATCTGTCACCACACGATGGGAACCGAGGAGGGGCCGGCCCTGCAGCCTCGTGGTTAAGGGATCTTGATCCCACCTGGTCAGCTGCCGTTCGAGGCCTGATCCTCACAGCCTGAAAAACACCCCGTGTGTGTGTGTGTGTGTGTGTGTGTGTGTGTGTATGTGTGTGTATGTGTGTCTGATTCCTCACAGGGCGTAGGAATGGAAGGGAGGGGATTGCAGACCACACTTTCTCCTCTCTCTTTCTCAGGGGAGTGCATGCACCCTCTGGCAAAAACAAAAAATTAACAAAGAACCCAAAAGAATGGGACCAGCGGGACCGTCTCAGCTTCCCCGTCTCCCCTCCGCCAGCTGTGGGTGCCACATGACTATTCGGTGCGAGTCCCGCATGTGTGGGAGGTCCTAGCAGTTTATGGGCAGCAAGTAATACTTAAAAACTGCATGAATTACACCTTTCTTTGCACCTATATCAACTCGTACTTCAATTCTATTTTTCCATGAACCTAAAAAAAGTTTATTTCCTCCATGAGAGAAAGAGATCCCCCAAAAAAAAAAAAAAAAAAAAAAACACAGCACCCAGGTCTTACTCTGCCCGCAGTCCCAGCCAGCCCAGACCGCAGGCATGGTCCCCGTGTGATTAGGGAGGTCTCAGTGTGAGCCGGCACGCTGCGGAGTCCTGGGTGGCGTGGGCAGGCACAGGGACCAAGACAGAGTGGTGGAGGGAGCCTGAGGGGGAAGGGCTGGGCCGAGGCTCACTGGCCGTGATTCGCGATGCGAGTTTCAGGCCAGCAGGTGGAGAGGTAGCTAGGGTGGCTGGATCCCATGTGGCCAACTGTGTTGCTTGAGTTCCGGACCCAGTGGCTTGAAAATCATGTCAGGCGCATGTGCGTGCATGCCCAGAATCCGGAGAGGAGCATGGAGGAGAAGGGATTGCGGTGTGGCCATCCCCCTTGGGGGGTGATTTCTCACTTCCTCTCTGTCTCTGGAGGGTGCATATACCCTATAGCAAGTTAAAATCCATACATACCTGCATGATTCTTGGAAATGTGCGCTCATTATGAATGAGAGGGGGTGGTTCCCTCTTGCGCTGCTGCTGTGTGCTCGGTGGGTCGTCGGAGGCTGTCTCAGTCCGGACTGTATCTGCCAACAACACAGATGTGAAAAGCGGTCCCCTAAGGAATGAGCATGTCTGTGATGGGCTCAGGAAGCAGGGCGGCCTGCCCACCTGCAGTCGGGGTCCCAGTCTAGGTAGTTCCCACCGGGCCGCTCTTTGGCTGAACTCCGTATCTCCACGTTCACAAGTTTACTTCCGGAGCACCAGTCCTCAGGTCAGTTTCAGGCAGCCACAGGAAGACAGACCGAGGGCAAGAACGCAGTTACGCGGGGCCAGCGGATGGCATAATGGCTGTCGCTGGGCTCCATCGTGGTCAGCTGCAGTTTGAGTCCCAGACCCAGTGGCCTGAAACTCACACCGATGCATGCTGTGTGTGCCCAACACCCTGAGAGGAGAATGGAGGAGAAAGGATCGTGGCGTGGCCATGACCCGGGAGAGTGATCTTTTGCCTTCTGTCCCTCTCTCTCTGGGGAGCACACGCCCTATAGCAAATATCTCTCAAAAAATAAAAAAAATGCAGTTGCTCCCTGAGTGATCCTCCTGGAAAGAGCTGCCCTGGAAACCCTGTCCCGTGGAGTCTGCTACAGGGCTCCTGGCGCTGTGGCGGGCACAGGGCCCAGAGGGCCCAGAGGGCCCCGTCGTGCTGCTTGGGCTCTTCCCAGAAGTGTTCACAAAAGCGCACCATTGCAGGGCTCAGCTCAGCACCTTCAGAGTACCCCCACAGTGCAGCGGGGCCCTCGCTCATGGCTCCGTGTCTCCTCTGACCCTCTGGCCCCTCCACCCCTAAATGCCACAGAGGAGTCATGCAGGTCGTGAGCTTTCTAACCGGTCACGTTGCAGGTCTGGCCGCCCCTGCTGCTGTGCTCATGAGGCCCCCCTCTGCCGAGTGTGGGGACGTTTCATTTGTCAGGTCACAGGCCGGTGGGCAAGGGGGGGGGGTCTCCAGCCTGGGGTCACTGTGATGAAGGTGCACATTGTCCGTGTCCTCGGCAACTGCACCGGGCTCTGCAGGTCCATGCTGAGGTGCAGCCTTGGGTCCTCGGGTTTGCAGCGGACAGATTTTCCAGCTAATCCGGCCTTGTTGTATTCTTTTATTTTAAAATGTTTCCTCTAACATTTTATCATAAAACATGGGGGCATCCCTGGGGCCTAGGGTTAAGGGAGCCAACGTGTGGTTGCACTCCCAGTCCTAGTGACTTGAAAAGCATGTTGGGGGACTAACAGATAGTGCAGTGGTTACGGCCCTGGACTCCCACGTAGTTGACTGTAGTTCGAATCCCAGACCAAGAGGCTTAAAACTCGCATTGGATGCATGTGCTCATGTGCCCAAGATCCCAAGAGAAGGGATTGCGGCATGACCATCTTCCCTGGGGGGGCGGGGGTGATTTCTTGTTTTCTGTCTGTCTCTCCGGCAAGCAAATAGACCTATAGCAAAAATCTCTTTAAAAAATGTGTGCGTGTTGGGAACCAGCAGTTGGCGTAATGGCTATGTCGCTGGACTCCCACATAATTAACCGCGGTTCGCATCCTGGACCCGGTGGCTTAAAACTCACGCCGGGCGCGTGTGCATGCGTGCCCAAGATCCCGAGAGGAGAATGGAGGAGAAGGGATTGCGACGTGACCATCCCCCTTGGGGGGGTGATTTCTCGCTTTCTGTCTCTATGTCTCTCTCTGTCTGGCGAGCGCACGTGCCCTATAGCGAAAAACCTCTCCAAAAAAAAAAAAATGTGTGTGTGTGTGCAAATATATCAGTGCTCAAGCTTGCATGTCCCAAATCCCAACAGGATGGAGAAGCAGGAGAATGGGTTGAAGTGTGACCGTTCCTCATGTGCTTTCTCAACTCATGTCTTTTTCTGGCAAATAAACAATTTTTTTATTTTTTTTTTAGGTTTTTGCCATAGGGCATGTGCGCTCCTTGCCAGAGAGAGAGAGAGAGGGAAAGACAGAAAGAGGGCAAGTGAGAAATCACCCCTCGGGAGGGACGGCCATGCCACAATCCCTTCTCCATTCTCCTCTGGGATTTTGAGCATGCACGCACATGTGCCTGGCATGATTTTCAAGCTACTGAGTCCGGGACTCAAACCTTGGTTGGCCATGTGAGAGTCCAGCGCCTTACCTACCATTCCAAGCGGTGGCCCCACAAACAAAAGTTTTGGCTCAGCCTGGGACTGCTTGGTGGGCCACCGCCCTCCCCGTTCCTCTCAGGGGCTTCCTTAACTCCTCGCACTAGGAGTCCGCTGCCACTGGCTTCAACCACAACGTGGGCCTGACCTGTGGCCGCGGCGTCCTGTAAGGAGTCGTGCTGGCACTCGGCCACACATCTTCTTTTTTTTTAAGAGAGATTTTTCCTATAGGGCATGCACTCACCAGAGACAGAGAGAAATCACCCCCCAGGGGAAATGGCCATGCCGCAATCCCTCCTCCATTCTCCTCTCAGGATTTGGGGCACACATATACATGTGCCTGGCATGAGTGTCAAGCCCTGGGTCTGTGACTGAAGCCGGGGTCGGCCATGTGTCCAGCAACCTAAGCATTACGCCATCAGCTGGTCCGGGCCCTCAGCCGCGTGTCTGTCTGTCACCTGGAGCTGCTCTTGAGCTGTGGGGCCGGAGAGACCGCAGAGCTGGGAGTGATGCTCTCCTTTCGTGCTCTTGAAGGAGGTTGGCCAGCCCCTGGCCTCGGGCGTCCAGGCCCCTGGAGAGTGGCTCAGGTGGGCGGGGAGGGGTGGAGAGGGCGCTTGGAGCGCAGCAGCCGTCGTGCTGATGTCTGGCCACGTCCCCACCTCATGGTGTGCGTCCTCCTCGATGAAATGGGGCAGGTGCGCAGTGCAGGGACCCGGCCCCGTGTCGCTGAGTTAGGGTGAGGAGCAGCTCAGAGCGCAGGAGGTGGGGACAGGAGCGTTGTCAGGAGCACTGGGACCCAGCTGGGGCCAGTAGACCTTTGGGCCCGCACCCGGATTTTGGCTGAACCACATAAACCTGTCCTGTAATGAGGCTGCTTCGTCCAGGCTGGTTGGGTCAGCGGGGCCCCGTTGGGTGGCCCTGGCCCTGCTGGAGCTCACCCACCCTACACAGCAAGGCCTCATGTACATGTATGTGTGTGTGCACATGTGCCTGTAGTGCGTGTGTGTGATGTGTGTGGTGGCCCCTGCAGCCCTCTGGCCTTCCTCTCTGGCCCTGTTTCTTGCTGAGTGTCCCAGGGGCTGGTGGCAGTGTCCGTGGGAACTGCTGTTGTTCCATCTTATTTCCAGTGGGCATGGCAGCCACGCAGGAAGGAGGCGGGCAGCCATCCATGCCATCCGTGTGTGCTGGGCCCCACGGCCACCATGGGCTCTCTGTGTACCCTGCTATGTCCACCGAGGGAGGCGGGAAGCAGAGAGTTTCGGGGACTCCTGGTTCTACTCATCTGTCCAAGCCCTCCCGGGCCCTGCCGCCCTTCACGTGTCCCCAGACAGCCCTGTGGTGGGAGCTGGCATGCCTGTGTCTGCCTCATAACTTCTCTTCACCTTCTTCCAGGTTTCTCCTGAGGCCATCACGGAGCACACGTGGCCTCTGCACTGCAGTGGTGAGCGCGGCCCCCTCGCCTGGGGAGCTGGGAGATGCGGGCTCGTGGGGCCCCCGAGGCTCACCCGCTCTGCGCCCCCACCCCGGGCCTCTGAGCTGCCCTCCCAGAGCACGCCCACCTTGGCCTCCTGCTGCCCATGAGCCTTTGCTGCTGAGGCTCCCCGGCCGCGGCCCCCGCCCAGTGAAGATGTGCACACCCATCGGGGGGCTGCTCACAGCCCTGGTCATGGTGCTCGGGACTGCGGGGGAGCTTGCGCCCATCCCCCGGATCACCTGGGAGCACGGAGGTGAGAGCCGGAGCCTGTGCAGGTGTCAGAACTGGGGGGTCCTGAAGGGAGCTTCCCCTCCTGTGCCTGACAACTGGGGACACGCTGCCCGCGAGGAGCCTGCACCCAGGCATGTGGCGGCGTCAGGACAGCAGCAGCGCCCGCACTGCTGCCCCCCGGCCAGCCGCTCCCCCACGGCTCACTGCCGGCTGTCTTGTCTTTCTCACTTTCCTCGGTCTTTCTGGTCGGTGGCCTGAGGGACTGAGCAAGGTGGGCTGCAGGCAGGGCTCAGAGCTGTCCCACGCAGAATGGCAGGCATCTGTGCACGTGCTGGGATGGGACCGGCCTGCCGGGCGTCTCCTCCACCCTACGGGATCAGAGGCAGAGAAAGTGTCCACACCTGGCTCTCTGGGAAAGCACTGCTCCGCAGCACAGGGCAGCCA